TCTCGCGCATCATATTAGTGTATCATGTATAAAATGTAATGTATCTTACTTAATGATTAATGTATCAGCGCTTATATTATGGTATCCGTTTGAGGGATTTCTGTAATTATAAACTTTTAAGGGATAAATTGTAATTTTACCTTAGAAGTATGTGATTTCTGTAATTTGCCCTTAAAAATATGTACTAAGTTTCATTTCAAAACTATTACACCCTCGATTGAAACTTACGCATGACTTAAAGTTATACTAAGTCATATATCAATTTTGTTCGTCATGAACTTGAGAAAACTAGAAAACACAGATGCGGCGCTGATTTAAGAATCTTTAAAAACACTTAAAAGCAAACACATGCAAATAGGGTGGCCGTTCGATATTCGCAAATTTTGGATTTGGTAATTCGGTAATTGATAGTTAAAAGTTGATATCAAATATTAATTTTTTAATTTTAATTCAGTAATTCAGTAATTGGTAAATTAAACTTTGATTTGATACAGTATTTGGTAATACCGTATTGAAGTTATAGCCGCTTGTAATATAAATTTAATAGAATTTCTCTAACTATTTTTATGTTTTTATATAAAGGCACGATATAATAGAAGATCAACAAGTAAGAAGACATTAAAAAAAGTGAATTTGATACAACTAAAAGACATATATATTTCGGTTGTTTATGTTTATTCTTTAATTTTCTCTTTGGACTTGTACTAATGAGTAATAGACATGTTGATATATGGTCTTTATTAAGTAAATAATTCGATATTCGGAAAAATACCAAATGCTGCTAATGTCTCATACCAAATCTAAATCCGAATATTATAATTCTAAAATTTAGTTCTGAATACCATGTCGAATATCGAATTACAGAATACCAAATTATCAAAAATTTCGATTCAATTCAATAATTCGATTTTTGATATTTTATACTCAATCCTACATTGGAGAAATTATACAATATCTACTCAGAAGAAGAAAGTAGATGTGCAGAGAACTTGAACTTTAAAAAAAAAAAGTATTTTGCAAAAGAAATTGGAAATTAATTTGTCTTAATTTCTTCCTAAATATATACAAGTTGGGCCAAATCGGATAAAGTGGGTATAGTTAAGCTATAAACGATGAATTAGATAGCCGAATAGTTTTCCTTTTTTATAATTATCCAATCAAACGAATGATCAGCAGCACCCCTAATTGGAATTCTGTAGCGACTTTTAACTAAGAAATAAATACACAATTGGTCCAAATAATGGAAGTAAACTAAACAATTAACCATTTAAAAATAATTTCCAAACACACGGAGCCATCCATTATGACCGCCGTTGCTTTTAGGTTCTAGAACATCGAAGCAGCCAGTCCTTTAGACCTCGTTTGGCTGGTTGTACTCATTGTGTCGTGTAATACGATATTAGTTTAAATATAATATTTATATAAATAATTATTTTAAATATATTATGTTATATCGTTTAATTTCATCTTAGATAACAATAAAAAGTTTCATTTTATATGATTGTGTCATTATTCTATTTTATACTATATTCTATCGTTTCATAGTAATTTTATTTGTATCATAATTTATTTAGTAGGTTTATCATAATGCACACATTATGTAATGACATAAAATAATATAATTTATTTAAATATTATATTTATTAAAATAATACAATACGATATAATATAATATAATATAATACATTGTAATACATAATGAAACAATATATAACGACCGAGAGAAGACCCAAAATAGTCCTTCATCTTTGGATTAAGACTCAAAGTCATCCTTGAGTTTTTACATGGAGCACTAATAGTCCCTCATGTTTACAATATTGATGCACTTTTCGTCCTTCCCTAAACTTTTGCCTATTTTTTAACATTAATTTTGTCCATAATTTTATGTAAGGAATGTCCCATCGTCTATTTCTATATTTAATAGAAATAATAACTCAAGGTGAGAAGAAAAATACTTTATTCTGTTCAGTAGAAATATTACTGCAGTTAAATTAAGAACATTTTAACATATGACATTGAAAGAAAAGAAAATTTTGTACTATTGCACGTGAAATAGTCATGATGAACCTCTCGACTTTACCTGCAATATGATTTTTATTAAACAAAACAAAGTGTTTTTCTTCTCACAATCTCTCACATGGAGTCATTATTTCTAATAAATATATAAAATGACGATTAAACATTTCATACATAAATTATGGATAAAATCAATGTTAAAAAATAGGCAAAATTTTGAAGGAGGACCAAAAGTGTACCAATATTGCAAACATGAATAACTATTAATGCTCCATATGAAAAATAAAGGATGACTTTGAATCTTAATCCAAAGATGAGGTAATATTTTGGGCTTTTCTCTATAACAACCATTCAAACGTGTGTTAACCGGATCATCCAAGAAGCTGCCTTTCCCCCTGAAAGTCAAAATTTTCCTCTTTATCTTTTTCTTCCTCCAATAATACTCTTTTATATTCTACAACTGACTTTTCCCGACTCAATAGAAAAATACTCTTTCCTCTGTTTCGTTTTTATATATATAAACCCAAAATACTCAACTCCCTAGATTCATTACTCCGCCTTCTCCGGCCGGCGAAAATTCCCACTAAAAGCTGCCATGGTTAACTTTAAAGCTATTTCCGTTAATCTCTTCCTATTAGTATTACTATGTCCGGCGTCAGCTCAGCCATCAAATTCCCCTGATTCCGAGAATCGGTTCGAGTACCCGAGTGTTAGTCCTGCTATGGCTATTATCATAGTGATACTTATTGCTGCTCTATTTTTCATTGCCTTCTTCTCAATTTACATACGCAACCGTGGTGCAACTAACGGAAGCATCCGTCAAACCTTCTCCATGCGACGGCGTACTGCTGCTGCAACTCGTGGACTTGAAGATTCCGTCATCGAAACTTTTCCTACCTTTACTTACGTCGAAGTAAAGGATCATCATATTGGGAAGGGAGCTTTGGAATGTGCGGTGTGTTTGAACGAATTTGAAGATGACGAAATGTTGCGTTTGATCCCGAAGTGTGATCACGTTTTTCACCCTGAATGCATCGATGCTTGGCTCAAATCTCATGTAACTTGCCCTGTTTGCCGAGCTGATCTTACTCCTAAACCTGATGAACCGGTGCCGGTTCAAACTCCTGACACGAACCGGGAATTGGGGCAAGAACAGGAGAATTTGCAGCAAAATAACGAAGTTTCGATTCAAATAGAGGTAGATGAGGATTTGATGTCACAGCAAGAGGAGAGCTCTGTTAGACCAGAAGTTAAACGAAATTTGAGTTTCAACGCGGTGAACCGGCCGCCGCGGTCTTTTTCTGTGAAGAGACCAAAGATGTTCAGCAAATTCAGGTCACATTCGACCGGTCACTCATTAGTGGTACCAGGGGAGAATTTAGACCGGTACACTCTTAGATTGCCGGAGAAGGTGAGGAAAGATGTAATGGACCGGGCTCTACTAAACCGGACAAGGAGCTGCGCAGTCACGCTACCAAGACACGGTAGCACCACAAGAGGGTACAGAGCCGGTCCGGGAGAGGGAAGCAACAGAGGTACAAGGTCATTCAAGAGAATTGACCGGTTCGACCCGGAAGCAAAATCAGACCGGTGGTTTCTCAAGATTGCACCACCATTCTTTACCAGAGGTTCATCAATGAAGTCACCAAAAGTAAGAGCTGATAACGAAGAAGCATCCACATCCCGTAGTAATGTGAAAGTAGCAGTAAAAATGCCGTCCTTCAAATGCCTGGAGCCGAAAGGTGATGAACCGGGTTTATTGGCAAATGACTCGGCTCGATCTCCAGTTTAAAGAATGTGGTAATTTCTGACTCGGGTTTAATTAAGCATGGCGGAAAGGGAAAACTTTTTGTTCGCCGGCAAATGTGGAGAACGCGTGGTCGATGCTAATGGGCTGGGCCCACCAACCTTTGAAACTTCCGCTATTGACTTTAATGCACATATATATAATGTCAAAAGTTGAATTCAAGGTTTTTGATTTCTAGAATATTCTTTAAAATGTTGATTAACTTTTATTATTTAAAAAACAAATAATTTTCAACTTTGGGTTTACCTGGGGTGATGAGATGGTGTTCAATAGTGTGTGTTTATCTAGATGGATGATGTAATACCCTAAACACAATGTAATTATACTATGTGTTACTTTGTTCTTGATTGATAGAGATATGATGGTTTTCCTCTTATTTTAAAGGCTTTAATGCATAATTTAATCCTTTTATTTTTCATGATATTCTATTTAGATTCTTGATCTAAGTTTTATTTCAATTGAACATCTCAACTCATAATAAAATGATTTAATTAGATATTTTTTATATTTAATTTTAATTTTGTGTGAATTTTCTTTCGTCTATTAGGTATAGTTAAGTTAATTACATAAAATATATCATTACTTCTAATCATATACATTCACCTAAAAGCTGTATAATTCCATGTATTTTCTACTTTATTAAAGTCGAGGGGTTCAATTGCAAATTTGAGGGCTGACCAAGTGTGTAAAGTCTTCAAATTTTCAATTTCCTTCATGAAAGGCGTAGCTTTAACTATTGTAAATCAACGAGTTGGAATTGGTCTTGGTTTATTAGTTTGCATTTAGTTGTTCAAAGAAAGTAACATCAAAGTCAAATTAATAATTTGTTAATTCATACAATTTTTCAAATTAAGATAGTGTAACTTCACATCAAAAGAGCATGTTGCGATGACATGTTGAACTCAATACGTTTTATATTGCTAGTGTTTAGGAACATGAATTACACGTTTATTCTTTATTATTATTATTATTATAATTTTTTGTTATAAAATAAGAAATATTTTAACAATATTAATTTTATCATTTGCGTTTCAAAATACTCTTGAACTATTTGAAAATGCTTAGAAATACTCCTCTTTCATTTATTTGGCTAAAAACATCCTTTTCTATCTTTATGCTTGTTTTCATAATAGGTGTTGCAATAAGAAGAAACATAAGTTGAGGTCGACAACAACTCCAAGTGGCGACATGGAATGGGTTGGTGGTGGTTAGATAAGGAAACCCTACATCTTACGAAGGTTATATGGACAAAGGAGGGATTTCGGGTTGGGCCGTTGTTTGGTTTCATTTTATATTTTATGTTTTGTTTTTTTTCCTTCCATTTTTGAGTATATTGGGCCTTTTTGTATAAATTCCAAATTTCTTAATAAAAGAGAGATCCGAGCTCTAAAAAAAATTGATTTAAAAAAATGTTTGAAAAGAAAAAAGGATGTATATTCGATTACTAAAATTACAATATCTCTAAATTTTATATAATTCAAATAGATTGACAATAAAATATTTAAGTATATAACACTAATGTGATGAATTTGATTTTGACATTAACGTCAAAACTTCAAATTGATAGAAAATACAAAGCACATATATGATAATATATGATTAGGCTTTCTTGAATTTTCACTATCTGATAAAAATGATGATAATTCATTATTATTTTATCGTGTTTGTAAAATCTATAACAAATAATTTTGTAATATCTGGTCAAATCAACTAATAAATACCTTTAATGAGAATATATGTTATTAAAGACAAATTTTAAAAATAAAGGAAGAAAAGAGACTCTACGTAGATGTCATATTTTTGCTTTCTCATTGCATGTTTTTAAAATGACTTTTGTTATAATTTATCCCGATAACATAATAAATAAATAATTAATATATCCTTCGAGATTAAAAGAATCAATGACTCCACGTAATTTTATATTTATTTTAAAATTTTCATGTTCATGTACATTGCTTATATGAAAAGATATTAAGTAATTTAATAAATAAATAACTAATATATCATTCGAGATGGCAAGAGTTAATGCTATAACTTTAATTTTTATATTCATATACATTGTATACATAAAAAGATAACTCGTTAATTTAATAAATTCACTTAAATGCATATATACACCTTTGTGCAGAATTGACGAACATTTTAGTAATTAGATTTTTAACTTTTTGATTTCTCACTTTTAATATAGTATAAAAAAAAGTGTATATATTTTGCTGAAAATCATGATTTTTCTATTTGACTATATTTTAAACATAATATATGTTAACTTTCACTCTAATATATGCTACTTTAAAAATACTATTATGTCACTATCAAAATTTATAAAATGTATGGTTCATCTTGGTCCAGTAAACCTCAAGATGAACCATAAATGAACCATAATACTTTTTAGGCTATGCTGATATAAAGTCCAAAAATGTATTACCACGTAATTTGTGCTTATCTTATAGATCGCTTCAGTTTTTTTTTTCCTCATAAAATGAGATTTGCCTAAAGTATTATATGCTCCTTCTTCGAAAATTTATCTAACTTAGAAATTTCTCAGAACTTTATTTCTATCTTTCTTTCATAAACGTGGTCACATATCTCAGCGTAAGGACTCTGATATCATGTTTGTCTCCGCCCAAATACGTGACTCATAATTTTGCTTATTAATCACAAACAGTTTTTAAAAATAAAAATGTTCTAAGAAAAAGTAGTACAAATATGAAACATAATGTTTTTGAGATGGCTTTTAAGTTTTTGCTGTATTTGTTATAATATACTATAATACTACTATAAAAGGAAAAAAAGTAATACTAGGACGATATACTATAAAAAACAATATTACCGACTTTAATAGAAAATTCAGAAAATATCTTGTACTAAAATATTACATTTGCGAGAAAGAAGAGAAATAAAAGGTTAACACATAGCAGAGAGGAGGGAAACACGATTGAAGGGGAAAATCCAGTTTTCTTTGCCTCCCTTTCAGCTTTCAAATCCGAAAAACCCTAATTATCTCTTCCGACTATGAGCTACCCTAATTACGACTCCAGATACGGTGATTCAGGCTCCTATCGACAGCGACGAAGGTAAATGTTCTCTACAATTGTTGATTTTTACATACTAATATGTTTCATTGATTACTCCGGTTCGTAATATAGTTTAATCTTGTGATTGGTATTCATTACTTGCTTGTGTGTGTTTGGATTGTAGTGACCTAATGGGTCCGCAGCCTTCCATGTATCCACGGCCTATGTCTGATGGAGGTGCCGCTAGCTACGGCCGTGGTGGGCCGCTTCCTTATGGAGGTCCTCAGGCAGGGGGTCCACCGCCTATGGATGGTGGTTCTAGAGGGGGTATGGGTGGATCTGGACGCGTTGGTGGTGGGTATCCACCTTTTGAGGGTGGGTTTCCAAGAGGGTCGGATATAGGCAGGTTTGGAGGTGGAGGAGTTGACAGAGTGGCTAATGGTGGTATGGGAGAACGGCCTGGGAGATTTGGTGCTGGGGCAAGCTACAGTGGAGGTAGGAGTGGTGGTGGGAGAGGAGGTAGGGGTTTTGATGGAGGCTACAGTGGTGGACGAGGAGGTGGAAGGTTTAGTTCGGACGGAGGACGTGGTAGTAGTGGCGGGAGAGGAGGTAGGCATGGGAGATCACGAGATGATCTTGACAACCTTACTCTTCCAAAGCAGGACTTTGGAAATTTGGTACCTTTTGAGAAGAACTTTTATGTTGAAAATCATGCGGTGAGGGCAATGACAGATCAGGAGGTTGCTCATTATCGTGCACGGCGTGACATTACCATTGAAGGACAGGATGTCCCTAGGCCAATTCAGATGTTCCATGAGGCCAACTTTCCTGGTATTACTTCTGTAGAACTAAATGTATTGATTAATTTAGCTAAATCTGTTGAAATTTGTCTGATTGAATTGGTGTGATAGATTATTGCCTCGAGGTTATTTCAAGACTAGGATTTGTTGAGCCAACACCTATCCAATCACAAGGATGGCCAATGGCTTTAAAGGGCAGAGACTTAATTGGAATTGCTGAAACCGGTTCTGGAAAGACTTTGGCATATTTATTGCCTGCTTTGGTCCATGTCAGTGCACAGCCCCGGTTGGGTTAGTATAACTTTTCCTTTTCCTTTTTATTTTTTATTGTTTAGACAGACTGGCTGGTTTTTATGACTGCCTCCTTTTTTATTTCTCTCCCCTGAAATCCAGCACAAGGTGATGGTCCAATTGTGCTGGTATTAGCACCTACAAGAGAATTAGCTGTTCAGATTCAAGAAGAAGCTGTCAAATTTGGATCACGTGCCAACATAAGAAGTACTTGCATTTATGGTGGTGCCCCAAAAGGACCTCAAATCCGTGACCTTAGAAGAGGTATTCATTTTTCTTGTTCATTAACTTGTTAGTATTAATTCCCTTTTTGCTAAACTGGTTTTATAACATGAAACTTCATGTCAGGAGTTGAAATTGTGATAGCAACCCCCGGTCGGTTAATAGATATGCTGGAAGCTCAACATACGAACCTGAAACGAGTGACATATCTTGTATTGGACGAGGCTGATCGAATGCTGGATATGGGGTTTGAGCCTCAAATAAGGAAACTAATTTCCCAGGCATGCACACTATGTTTTTCTATTTTATGATTTTAATTGATGAGAATCCGCTATTTAGCTCAATAATCATTTTGTGTCCTCATCTGTGTTAATACTTCATCATGTTTGTTCACTGTAGTGAGAAATAATATATCTTTTGGGACCTGCTTCAGTACAAATTTTCAACTTTCATTTTTATCTTGCGAGCTGCAGTTGGATGAGTGCATTGAGTGGAACTGTCTCTGACAGTTCAGTATGGGTATCTTTTTGTCTGACTTGGTCGGCAGTGGTTTAGCATTTTTTCTGGGGTTGTATATTAACCTTTTGAGCCATTATATGAGCAGAAAATAGAATGTTTTGCCAACTTCATATAATCGCTCTTCAGTTTGTAAATTTTACTAGGACCATGACTAAAATGTGAGAGAAAGAAGTTATCTTGACTGATTTGCTTGCTTGATTTTGCACCTTAAATATGGAAATTTTGCTGATTTGCTAGATTTGGGGTGTTGAAATGTTTCAAAAGTTTAAAGGGGTAAGGGAGATTCTGTTCTTTTGTTAAATGGGTAAAGGAGATGCAACACATTCATGTGACTTTTCTCTTCAAAGAGGTTTGAACAATATATTTATCAATCCATTGTAGTTTAGGTATTTTTATGAGAGTAGTCAGCAGTTTGCTTTGAACTTTGGTAAATAATGTCAGCTTTGACTTTTTGGATATTACCTTGTAATTGGGCTGGTCTCAAATGACTTTTGGTTCTTCTCATGTAACTTAATGCATGATTCAAGTATTTAACCATATATGTCACAGGCTTCACATTCTAAGCTTCTGCATTTTCTCCGGCTATGTTTGAAAGACGGATATTGCATGTGTTGTTTCTTCTCACTTTGTTGGATTGGGCACTAAAATGGTTTTGTTGTGTCTCAAATCCTCCTAACTGTATATGCTTTTTGTTCAAAATAGGTCGAAAATGCAATCTCTTTCTTAATTTCGTACATCTTCATGTTGTGTTACAGTGCATTTGTCTTGCTGGTATTCTGTTTTGTTGTGGTTGTCTTTGAATTATTACATCATTCTGGAAATTTCGCTGAGAGAAGCTCAGAATCTGAGGTTTAAGTATTTTGTGATGCTGCTGCAGATTAGACCAGATAGACAAACCTTGTATTGGAGTGCCACTTGGCCCAAGGAGGTTGAATCACTGGCCAGACAGTTTTTACGTAATCCCTACAAAGTAAGTAGTGAAGCCATTTTATAATGCTTAATTCTATATTATGTTAACATATCAGTGCGTCACAAGTAGGGTGTCAAATGGGCGGGTTGGGCTGGAATTGGGAGGGTTAAAATGGGCTGATCCACATTTACTCTAGCTAAAATGGGTTGGGCTGAAATAGGTTAAAAATTGGATTAGGTCATGACTTCTCTAATTTGACTCGCTTATGTATAACTACTAGTCATGTTGTCCACTGACTCGTCATGTGGTCAACTGGTTCTTGCCTTGTTTGATTTTTGCCTTTATGGGTCTTACTTTTAATTCTATCATCTTTGAGATATTAGTTTTACTTGCTTGTTCTTGTTTGTGCGTTAGTAGTGTTTATGTTTTGTGATCACCTTGTTTAGTTTATATTTGCTTTAGTGGGTTGGGTAAATGATGGCAAGTTAAGGTTTTGTTCTTGGTCTGGGATGGGGGAGAGGGACAAGTGAGAATCTTTCGACCCAATAGGAACTCTTGTTTATGGATTTTGGAGATCAAGAAGGAGAACAAGAAGAGGGCTGTGGATGACCGTCTGAGGATTAAATGGGGTAGCTTGACTATGGCTAGTGCCCTAGAGACAATGGAGAAGTTGATGTCTATGAGACTTGGGGGAGTAGCGGGGATGTAGACAGTATGTGGGATGATACTGCAGCTGCACTGGGGAGACAACTAGTGAGGTGTTGGGTGTCTCAAGAAGCTGATCTAGTGTGCATCGAGTGGACTAGTTGTGGAATGGGAAAGTTCAAGGGAAGGTGGAGGCAAAGAAAGGGGATTATGCGAAGTTGGTGAAGAGTAAGAATGAGGAAGAGAAGCAGACGAATAGGTAGAAGCCTAAATTGGCTAGGAAGGAGGCTAAGTTAGTGGTTATGGTGGCAAAACAACAACTTTTGAGCACTTATACGCAGAATTAAGGGACAAAGGTGGGAAAGTTATACATGCTAAGCTAAAGCTAGAGAGAGAAGGGTTCAGGACCTTGACCAAGTGAAATGTATTAAGGATGAGGATGGCAAAGTACGGTTGGATGAGGTACTCATTAGAAGGATATGGCAGATATACTTTCATACACTCTTGAACGAAGAGAGGGATAAAGGCATTGTGAGGGGGGTTTGGAGCGCACAGAAAGGTGGCGCCATTATGGTTATTGTAGGTGGATAAAGGTTAAGGAGGTTAAGGGTGTTATTCGTAGTATATGTAGGGGTAGAACAGCTGATCCAGACGAGATTTTGATGGATTTTTAAAAGAGCCAAACGGGGCAGGTATGGAGTGGCTAACTGAATCGTTTAATGTCATTTTCAAGACGACAAAGATGCCCGAAGCATGGTAATGAAGTATAATAGTTTAAGTTTACAGGAACAAGGATGACGTTTAGAATTGCAACAACTATAGTGGTATCAAGTTGTTAAGCCATACTGTGAGGGTTTGGAAATGGTGTTGGTGTGGAGGTTTAGGAGGATCGTGACTATTTCTAAGAACCAGTTCGGTTTCATTGTTTGAGGCTCAACCCCCATATCCAACATTCGGTCAGCCTCGTCCAATACGAGATAAGTGACTTCTTTCAAGTTTGTATGTTGAGCTTCCAGCATATCTATTAACCGACCAGGGGTTGCTATCACAATTTCAACTCCCGACATGAAGTTACATGTTTTAAAACCAGTTTGGCAAAAGGGATTTAATACTAACAAGTTAATGAACAAGGAAACCAAATACCTCTTCTAAAATCATGGATTTAAGGTCCTATTGGGGTACCACCATAAATGCAAGTACTTCTTATGTTGGCACGTGATCCAAATTTGACAGCATCTTCTTGGATCTGAACAACTTATTCTCTCGTAGGTGTTAATACTAGCACGATTGGACCATCACCTTGTGCTGGATTATAGGAGGAGGGGGGGGGGATCAAATAGGAGGCAGTAATAAAAACCAGCCAGTCTGTCTAAACAATAAAAACAAACAGGAAAAGAATCTACTAGGTATAATGAAAAATCAGTAACTAGTAGAAACGGCAATCTTGAAGAACGGAGGAACCGGGTGTTGGTTTTGCTAGTATCCAGACATTCTTGAACAGATAATGGAACCTGATCTTGAAGGTCTTAGAGAAGAGATACTTGACTTGCCAGACCTGGTCTTGGAGGTGGCTGTAATGACACCGGCTGTTGGTGGGTTACAATGAACGGTGAGAAGGGGAGAGACGCTTCGTTAAAAGCTCCTGTTTCAGTTAGTCAGAATTTGGGTCAACATCATTTTTTGGGTTCCGCTGGTGAACCAGATCTAGGGTTTCGGTTGTAGCTGAAAGGGATGAAGGGTTGGAAAATTGAGAAAGTAGAGCGGCAGGCCAAGAATAGGAATAAGTTTGCCCGTCACGTTCGATTGACGGAAATGTGAGGAATTTGCAGTAGACAGAGTCGGGGCAATATTTCTGAGCTTAATCAATATTTAGCCTAGTTATAGAAGGATGAAGGAAAAATATATAAGAAGTATATAGATACATATATATGCCAAGTTTTAGCATTCCTAGGCAGATTCATATTAACAAATGAAGAGATTTGTAAATTTATTGAAATCTTAAATATTCAAAATTGCCCTTATTAATAAAATGGGTAAGGTGCCACTAAATAGTTGCCAAATAAGGAAAGACAATATTCTTTTTGGAACAGGCCAAAAAGGAAAGAGTGCCACATAAATTGGAACAAAAGGAGTAATGAACTTCAGTATTCGTAAATTTCTGCTTTGATATAAGCATTTGTAAATAATGTAACAGATTCTCTAACTCAAGATTACTGTAGCAAATTCATTAATTCATATTTTAAAATGGGTTATGATTAAACGGGTTAAAAGTTATAGCCCATTATTAAAATATCTTGTGCCTAACCCATAAAATTTTAGTTAGGTCACTAATCGGCTACATTTGACACCCCTAGTCACAAGAAATCAGTGTTTTATACTATTTCAAAAAAAGAAATCAGTGTTTTATATTAGAGGGTTTGGAATGTGTTTAAATGTGCTTAACTTGTCAGGTCATCATTGGGTCTCCAGAATTGAAAGCAAATCAATCTATAAGGCAAGTCATTGAAGTTGTCACAGATTTAGAGAAATATAGCAGGTATGATCTAATAGCCACCAATATGTTACTCGATGGGTATGCTGTACAAATTTGATTGCTCATGGTTTTTTCATTTCACAGGTTGATTGGGCTTTTGAAAGAAGTGATGGATGGAAGTCGAATCCTAATATTTGTAGAAACAAAGAAAGGATGTGATCAAGTCACAAGACAATTGAGAATGGATGGATGGCCAGCTTTATCCATCCATGGTGATAAAAGCCAGGATGAGAGGGATTGGGTCCTTGCTGATTTCAAAACTGGAAGAAGTCCCATAATGATTGCCACTGATGTTGCTGCACGTGGTCTTGGTAGGACCAATCATGTTAAGGATTAGGATTTTTTTAGTCTGTCCATTTAGGGCTTTCACAGTAGAGCTAACGAGTCTCCGGCTGCTGTCAACTTTCCTGAGTAAATAATCTGTGGTTTGGGCCGATAGCTAGGGGCACGTTAACCACAATAACAGTGTTTTTGCACCATAAGCAGGAGAGATTATAGGATTTATGGGATTAGAACCATTAGTTGAATTTCAATAGAACTTCAGCAGGAGCTTAAGTAAACATGTCACACTCAGGTCCTTACTTTAAAAGCCACCACTAAAAAACCACACTTTGAGTTTAACTGCAATTTGATAGGGTTTTGGTTTCAGCTGGTGTTTGAGTTGTTTGAACACCAACTGCATCTCTCAAATTGTCCAGACATTGTTTCAGTTGATGAATCTAATCTCTTGATAAGATTTAAGGCAGAAATTGATAGTGATCCCTTTGAAAGGGTATTATGTGACCAGCTCTTGAGTAATCTCTAAAAAGGGATGTTTAAATAGGATGAAACTGCTCGTACAGTGAGTACTATGGTGATGTAATACTCTATGGGAATTGGGAATTGAAGGATTATATACTTCTAAAAATGATAATTCCTTTTTCGGTCTGTATTGGATGTTTGGTCATAAGAAAACGAGAGGTTGGGCATCTAATTTCAAATGTGGGAGTACACCTATTTAAGTTGGATATACTAGAAAATTAGAGTACCGAAAGAATCAATTTGCAAGTTGGTAAAGAGATCAATTAGTTTCAGAAAACCCGAGATCAAGAGTAGGTTACAAAAGGCTGCATGGTGAGTCCTATTCTCATTAGTGGACTTCGTTTACGCAGCCTTGGAAATTTGTCATACAAATTGCAAGTGATGTCTAATGTCTGTTGGCTTAGCATCACACCAAGAACTTGTAGCTTGTTCTTCTGATTATCTTATCCTCACAATCTAGAAAGAAATTAAGTTACAAGTAGAATTACCTGTACAGTTTCTTTTACATCTATGGGCTAACTGGGAATATGTATTTTTTTATTTATTTAATTGAAATCTATAGGAACTTGTGAGTATTACACTCATCACCCCATGCTTAGAGCGCACAAGCTAACTGAATATCTGATTGCATTTCTCTCCACACTAGAAAGTTGTTGGGTGGTTATGATACTGTTGGGACCGAGTGTTGCACCACTTTGTCTTGCTGATTAGTGGAGCATTTGAGCATTCAAGCTGAATGAATGGCCAATTGCTCTATTCAACATTTAGAAAGTAGGATGGTGGGTATAAAGGGGATATGTGAGTTCTTTCGGCTGAATTGGTTTTGGGTTTAAAACTATCGCCAACTGCCTTTGTGAAGAATAGGCATAAGAAGGAAACTGGAAACTGGTATAGAATGTGACACTTGAAATTCTAGCTGCTTATGTCAAATGAAGGTGTTAAACTGCATCGTGCAATTAGTGAATGATCATAAGAGATGCTCTTCCTCTATGTGGTTGGAAGAAAAGTAGTGTTTGTTATACTTTAGGAATTTTAAGCTTAGGGAGGTGACTTTTTCCCCAAAAGGGTATGTCTCACGTCATTTTGTCTAAGTAAGGTCGAGGTTAACGTTGCCCATCCACAGTTATGGAGCTGGTTGTCCTGACAGTCCGGTAGACTCATGCAAGATTATTGTGTCACTGGAATTGATTTTGCAAGTTCTGGTGGAGCTGCTCCTTATCCCTGCCAGGTTAAGGTGGGCACATTTATGTGAGAATGTGTTATCTTACATAATGATCACTTGGATCTCAGTAGTGCAGGGATAAGGTTGCAAGTATCTACTCTTTCACCAGTTGGGTGTGACTCGTGTTCTTTTTTCATTTGTTGCAGATGTCAAAGACATAAAGTGTGTTATCAACTATGATTTCCCTTCAAGTCTCGAGGATTATATTCATAGGATTGGCAGAACTGGACGTGCTGGTGCAACAGGAACTGCCTATACATTTTTCACTCACGCAAATGCCAAGTTTACCAGAGAGCTTATCAAGATCCTGCAGCAGGCAGGACAAATCGTTCCTCCTCAACTTTCTGCATTAGCAAGGTCTAGTGGTCATAGCACTGGAGGTTTGTGTTCAAATCCTCGAACTTTTTATGTATCGTATGCATGTAAATCCCAAATTGTGATCATGATAAATATAAAGAATTGATTTATTTGGCTTTTGCTTTCTTGCTGCAGGGAGCAATTTCAGGTCTAGAGGACGAGGTGGCTTTGGGAACCGGGGACAGAGATCTGGGTCTAATGTAATTCCTATTGGCGGTTCAAGAAGGCCTTGGTAGTTACTGAGTCTAGTATAGGAAATGTATACTAGACATAATTTTGGGATTTCTCTATGCTTTTTGCTTACAGTTGAAGCATATAGATTTTAGTTAAACTCATCTCTTTCCTTTGTTGTCTTGGTCGAGTTGGTTCATTAAACGGCCAGTTATTAGGAATTTGGATATGCAGATGGAGATAACATAGTTTGTGCAGGAATAGAATATTATGCTGTCTGGTGCTATATTTATACCCTTTTAAATTTAAATTCATTATGTTGTTTTGAGTAAGCATCAGTATGGTGATGCATTCGACAGTACTCGTTATTTAGCTGTTTAATTGACGCCTACTTGGCCAAAGGAATTTGTCATGAAATCTCAAATTGGTTATTTTAAAGGTATTCCACTATATGCCCTGAAAATCATCTTCGTTTGTAAATCAATTCTTACCGTAAAGGCTTAAACCCAATCGCAAAATCATTAACTAAAAGCTGGAGATGAACCAAATGAACTGTTGGCGGGAGTGTCATAATAACTTTTTTGAGGATTTAATAGCTGTATTATTTATTTCGTTTGGAAAATAAATCATTTTACATTTATTTTATCACTATTATATACTATTCGTTTGCAACATTCAGATTATTTATAATAACTAAGGGTTTTAAGTTAAACATAAAAGATGGATGAAGTGATTGTTCACAAAATCATCAGCGATGATGAGTATAAAATATACGTAAATTGGTATAATAGTTTGTATATAATTCATGTATGTTTATTAAATGTTTGGCCGATAAGTGTAATTCGGCCAATTTTTCATACGGAAGACTAGAGATTCTGGAAAGACACAAAGTTATAATTTCTTTTATATCTAAAAATGGATGCGAAACTATCAAAGCCCAAATTAGTTAAAAGCTTACGGGAGGCCCAAGCCCAAAAAGCTCTTCCATCTATAAATCTCTGAAACCCTAATTTCTCCTCACTCCTCTAGGGTTTTTCACCTAGTTCCCCATTCCCCTCTCCCCTTTCCTCTTTTGCAGCCGACGGAGAAATGACGACCCGTTTCAAGAAGAACAGGAAGAAGAGAGGTCACGTCAGTGCCGGACACGGACGTGTCGGTAAGCACAGGAAGCATCCAGGTGGTCGTGGTAATGCCGGAGGTATGCACCATCACCGTATCCTTTTCGACAAGTACCATCCTGGTTACTTCGGAAAGGTAGGTATGCGTTACTTCCACAAACTCCGCAATAAGTTCTATTGCCCTACTGTCAACATCGACACGCTCTGGTCACTTGTCCCTCAAGAGGTGAAGGACAAGGCTGCTGCTAGTAAGGGCAGTGCTCCTGTGATCGATGTTACCCAGTATGGTTACTTCAAGGTATTGGGTAAGGGTGTTTTGCCGGAAAACCAGGCTGTGGTGGTGAAGGCTAAGCTTATTTCAAAGAATGCTGAGAAGAAGATTAAGGAGGGTGGTGGTGCCGTTGTGCTCACTGCTTAGGTTTGCTTTTCTTCGTAGTTTTTGGTCGCCGATCTCAACTGGTTTGGGATTAAGGCTTAGTTATCTTCAATTTTGTTTTTGATTATTAAGGGATGTTTAAACTTGAGTATCACTGTGTTTTTTACTTTGAAATACATTTGGATTCTGATATTGTCTATGCGTTTTGCTTGTTCAATTGGATGCGATCTTCCCTTTTGAGTCACTTCTAGCACATACTTTGGCACATAATGTCCTATTTATTAACTAATGTTAATGTCACTTTGTGGTTTTGTGCGTTTTTGCGATCCTGTTTTTGATCATTGACGAAGCACACATTGATGTGCTTTGTGTGATTGACTACTGTCTAACCATGTTAGATGATTAATTTGTTTTTTTTGAATGCGGTGTCAATATTTGTAAATTGGGTATATCATTTTTTGTGCACGCAAGTTAGTTTTAGCAATTCTTGTCTCAGTTTTTAACTATGGCATTCCAATTAATGGAATGTGTGGTACTTGAATTCGTCTTTCTAGTGCAAGTTTTACCTTGGCTTATGATTTTGATCACTAAGTTTGGGAGAGTGTGCAGTAAATGATCAGTTAGGAGTTGATTCAAATTCTCATTGTTGTTTGAAACTTTAAACTTTGAATTGGTATCAGTCTGTTACTTGCACCACCATCACCACCAACATTTATTGTGTAATCCCACAATCCGTGTTTTGGAATGGTAGGACATATTCAGACATACCTTCTACCTATGCATGTTACAACCATTAGTCTATTAGGGGTTGTTTGGTATAGGGGAAGGATAGACAAAGTGAATCCATTGATTGGGATATCTCGTGGGATTAGTTAATCCACCATATATATCTCATCACTATAGTGTAAATAGTGGAATATAATCCTGGACTCTAACTAATACCTCTAAGCAAACACATGTATTTTATCCTGTATCCCTCTTATGGAATCACTCCTAAATGTGGGTTATAGTAAGTCTACGCTCTGATTTTCCATTTGGATTTGCTTTCAGCACTTGCACAATTATATTTTGTTTTGGGATGATGATGATGTTAGAGTGGGATGGGAATGATAGGCTTGAATATGAGTGATGACCTTGGGATTTAAAATTGTGCACTTTACTCCAGATCCCAGTGTCTGTGTTCTGTTCTTTGAAACCCTACAGCTTTTTTTTATATGGTGTGTTGGGAGTATACATTTTATTCTTGCTCAATCTTTTGGGATGCTTACCTTTTTTGTGTTCTTCTATGGCCATGCAATCTATCTTTTTGTTTCGTGCCCCTCTCGTTCTGGAGTCATACCTGCACTTGTTTAAAAGTTTGTATAAATTGCACAAAGAGATGCGTCATGTAAGATGTTGAAATCTGCTGGCTGATTGACTTTTAGGTTCTTGGAATATCACGCATTCACTATTTTAATGCATCCGGCTACATTAGGGCCTTATCCAGGGATCATTCAACTTTCAGGACTATAGGAAATACGGGTTATAATTTCAATAGAACAATTTGAAGTAGACCTTGTAAAAGGAAGAGTTTCTACCATGACAATAACTATCAGGACTACAGGAAATACCGGTTATAATTTCAATAGAAAGTGTGAAGTAGACCTTGTAAAAAGGAAGAGTTTCTACAATGTGAAGTAGACCTTGTAAAAGGAAGAGTTTCTACCATGACAATTTATCCCCCTAAAAGAAAAAAAAACTTATTAATATTTTAATCAAAACATCATTCCATCATGTTTTTGAGGCATATAACAAAAACATGAAGTCCAATGATAAGTGAAAAAGTAAAATTTATGTCATATATTTTAAAAAGAAATATTATACAATATATAATCACTCTTACAGTGTTACCAAATAGTAATATGCGATACTACAACTTGTTATTTGAGTTACTCTCAATCTTCTTATTTCTATATATTAAAAAAACTATAAAGTATCATTCATTTATTCAAGAATCACGAGGGTCAACAATATTAAATAAAGAATTTAACACATAATTTGTGTAAGATCTGTTAGGTGTTGGGCGTGCTTAGGGCATGCAATCGGGTGCTTAGGGAGTAAGTCTTAAGAACTAAGCCCAACACTTGAGTCTCGGGATGTTTTTGCTAGATCCCCCCTTGAGGCGAGTCCAAACAAAGTCTTTTAAAACACTGCTAGTTAGTGTCTGCTTTGAGTGGATTAGATAGTTTGCTGGAGTCTAGCCATGGTTATTCGGAAACTGAGGTAACTACTGAATTATGTTAAGGATTGTGACTAGTTTGCTAACTTTCCCTTGTATCTATGAACCCAGGACTGGTTAAATCTTACATTGAGTAACAAGGACCATTAGCTCCTCAAATTGGGCCAGTCCGTGGCGTTGAGGCCCAGTGGGTTACCTAATTAAAATCTGATTATTGGTGAAAGAATAACAAGACCCCATGTATAGGAAAAAGTGACATTATTCTGAGTTCTGTTCACAACTGTTATTAGTCCTACAAGGAGGAATTCCAAATGAATTATGACATAAATACCTAAACATTCTCCTTTTATACCACATTTCATATCTGTTGGCCAACACCCAACATACAAAATCCTACAAATCTTAACAATAAATGGTTCTTTTCGAAACAATGCTGGATACAGTGTTAGGGAATTCTCTGTTTAAATACACCTATCCAACTTTAATATATACCAAAAAAGTAAATTTAGCAGCAACTTTTTCGATGCATCTCTGTGAAAGATTCATATATCTGCATTTGTGATATGCTGTGAACATTTTTACAGGTCAAGTCCTCTCTACTAGTAATATTGACAATTTAACTAATTCGTTTATGGTCAATGTGTCCAGCTAACCCAATTTCTTCGTTATGGAATTGACGAAGACTCTATGGTTTTTGACTTTTCGTTAACGTAGTGAATGTGATGTTTTAATTGAAAGAATAAATCAAGTGGGTACGTAATACTTACAAAAGTTCCTTCATATTACTCCATCATTTCAATGTAGGTTCATATAATAAAAAGGTTCCCCAGCAGTCAGAAGCTGCAGGTCTGGGCATTTGACAAAATGTGCACAATTTCATAAACATTTTGTACCTTTCTTATGGAATTTTGCCAGGAAAGTTACCTTATGACCCTTAAAAATTAAAATTAGAAGTTTCAACACTTGAGCTCTAGTATTATTATGTTATAGAATTGGAGTAACCACTTAAAAATTGAATTAAAAAACATATATCCTTTTTGAATTTCTAGAAACAAAAAAGGCAAACAAATTTATAAAGAACTACAGAATCAAATATCTTTTTTTTTTTAAAAAAAAAAATCATAGTAAAGTACACGTTCATGAATAGTTAGGGGAACAGTCCTTTTTTTTTTACGCGTTTTGTCCTTGTTTTTTTTTTCCTGAAGTAAACTAAGACGAACTTATTAAAAATTCTTATCATTTGTACTTTTTCTTTTCCTTTTTGGATTAGAGAGGAAAACGTTCAAGCTCAATGTTTGGTGATGTGAATACGACTACACAAGTGGCATCACGGGTTCAGTTTTCAATTCCCAATTTGCCACGACTCCTCTAATTACAGACAAAGTGTTAGAAAACGTAACGTTTATCAATACATAATAGGACGTTTTTATTTATAATATATAATAATAATTCTAATCTATTTCAACATATTTTATTTTGAAAATTATATCTTATCGAAAAAGTAAGCCTAGAATATTCATAATATAAAAAAATAGGCAAAACTGTTCAAATGATCAACCAATCATTAAGTATTCTACCCACTTAACCACTCGAATAAGTCTCACTTAGTATTCGACCATGCTCTTTTGACTCATTCTTCGGTCTATCACAATTTGGTCATCACTTCATTACCACACGAATTTCCTCTAAAATCATATATGATAATACCCATTGACTCATGTGGAATTATGATTCATCCAACTGTTTAATACAAATTACTTTTATGAAAGTACTACGAAATCAATTAAACAAATGTAGTAATTAAGTGTTTTTAAAGAACACAAGTAGCATTATTTTTCTTTAAGTAAAAGGAAGTTATGTCAGCATGTCTTAAGCACTGTATTAAAAAATTGCTGCTAGATTTCTATTACATTCTCTTCCCCAATTTTTGAACAGTTGAACACCTTTACCAAATTAATGGCGGAAGAAGAGAAATCAGTGCAAGAAGAGCTTTCACTTCCGATTTTACTAGCTGACAGAGTAATCAAATCTGCTCAAGAAGCCGAATCCTCAAAAGTAGAATGCGCCGATCTCGCACGCCACGCTACTCAGCTGAGCCAGTTTCTCCGATCAACTGTTCGGCTCACCAGTTCTTCACAATCCCAGTCTCTTTACGACCGGCCCATCCGCCGGATAACTTCTGAAGTCACCAAAACTCTTGAACGAGCACTTACTCTTGTACGCAAGTGCCGTCACAAGCCTAATCTACTCCGTCATGTTCTTGCCATCACTTCCACCACTGATTTCCGGAAAGTTTCTATTCTTCTAGAAAATTCCATCGCCGACGTGACGTGGCTGTTATCCATCTTCGACCCGGAAGCTGGCCCGACACTTTCCCTTCCTCCTATTGCTAGTAACGATCCGATTTTGGCTTGGGTTTGGTCTTATATTGCTACTATTCAAATGGGTAATCTTCAGCACCGAATTGATGCTGCTCAGGCATTAGCTACCTTAGCTCTCGATAATGACCGGAACAAGAAAATGATTGTGGAAGAGAACGGAATTCCGCCTTTATTGAAGTTACTGAAGGAGAGCAGTTCAGCAGAAGCACAAATTGCTGCGGCTACTACTTTGTACAACTTGGCTGATGATGAGGAAAGAGTGAGGGCAATAGCAAATGATCTTGGTGTTCAAATTATTGTCAAGGTGCTTGCGGAATCGCCCATGAGAGTTCAAATTCATGTGGCTAATTTGGTCTCGAGGATGGCTGATTTGGACTTGTATGCCCAGGAAGAATTTGGGAGGGAGAATATAACGAGGCCATTGGTGATTCATTTAGGAATGGATGTAGTTCTGGATGAACCCAAAGACGCACCGCCCCGTAAGACTCCTAGTTTGCATTCTTTAGTTCAAATAAATAAGGAGATGGCCAGGAATAATTATAGTGGACATTCTAATTCTATGGATGGGAGCAGTAGGGGCGGGCATTACAGTAATAAGAAGGAGAAAGATAGGGAATTGGAGCCTCCTGAGGTGAAAGCTAAGCTTAAGGTAAGTTGCGCGATGGCACTGTGGAAATTGGCTAAAGGTAGTTTGTTGAATAGCAGGAAGATCACTGAGACTAAAGCTTTGCTTTGTTTGGCAAAGATTATTGAGAAGGAGAAGGGGGAATTGCAGATTAATTGTCTGATGACAGTGATGGAATTGGCTGCAGTTGCAGAGTCTAATGCTGAACTTAGACGAGTGGCGTTCAAGCCTACTTCACCTGCTGGAAAAGCGGTTATTGATCAGCTATTGAGGGTGATAAATGAGGAAACTGATGCTCCATTAGTGATTCCGGCTATTAAGGCGATTGGGTCGTTGGCTAGGACATTTCCTGCAAAGGACACGAGAATCGTGGAGCATATAGTCGGTAAACTTGGGCATAGAAATACTGATGTTGCTGTGGAAGCATGTATTGCTTTGGGGAAATTTGCATGTCCGGACAATTTTAATTGTGTGGAGCACTCGAAGGCAATTGTTGAATATGATGGAGTTCCAAAGCTGATGAATTTGCTGAGGTATGACCGAGGGCAGGTGCCCGAGCTCCAACTGCTCTGCTACCTTGCTTTGCACGTAGGTAATAGTAAGGCCCTTGAGCAAGCAAAAGCCCTGAGCATCCTTGAGGGTGCTGCTCGTCATGTAGTTGCTCAGCGTCCTGATTTAAGGGAGTTGTTTGCCAAGGCGATCCACCATCTTACTCTTTATCAAATTGGAGGTCATATGCATAGACAGGCTTAATGCTTCATTGTTCGGATTCCTATCCAAGCAGAATGTCCTTAGCACTCCATGCTTCTCAAATAATCAGGTTTGAAGCACTGTCCTGACGAAGTCTTTTATTGTATTCCTGCAGAATTGTCAGCTTCAAACCTTGTTCTCTGAAACTGTTGTCGAAGCTACATTTTAGGTACGTGTTCAGACGAATCCAGTAGCTTTTGCTTAGACTGTATTTGTATTAGGAAATCGATAAAATATGTATAAATATTTAGTTGGGAATCCAGTAACCAAAATAAGTTATGGGCTCGGTGGCAAGTTCAAAACCCATAAACTTCAAATGCTGGCTCGTCTTTGTGTGCATTGTAACCTAATAAAATGTTACATTTTTGTCTAAAGGTATATAGTCTTGTAGGTCACCTAGGTTAACTGGCTAGTTATGCTATTAGCCAAAATCTTGGTTCGCGTTGCTCCCAAAACAATGTTTGTCACTCTCCCACACCTATGTGATGGAGATGCATTATGCCAACTATTTTATGTATTCCATTAAAAGTAGCATCCAGGGGATGCAAACTGATTTAAAAAACAGAGCAAGTCTCCTCTAAAGCATCTAATGGAGTTCCCTCCAATGAAGCAGTTCTTGAGTAAATTTTGGCCGCTAATGGAGGTTCAATATCGTCATTGTGGTGCTCTCATTATTTCCAGGCCAAATATATCATAAAATGATGTTAATTGGTCGTTGGCCATAACCGTTCTTCTCACTTGTCTTATTAGTGTTTGGTAAGCAAGTTTAAGATGATGTAACAAAGGACAATGCCATTGTAAGGGTCATAAACATTCAGCTGCTTGATTTAGTATATGTATAAGGCAACATTGTTTCTCTGAAAGTTATTTTTTCTTGGTACTCTTCTGCTTGACCTTTTGCATATCCTTGGACTATGATGCATAGTGCTTTTATTGGTTGGGTTGGGGGTATTGCAGTTCTCCAGTGTACATTCAGTGGGGAAATGACAAACTCCTGCTGAAAACGTAATAACATGATAAGAGTTGTAGTTTAAATGAAAGAAAATGGTTGACAATTAAAATCGTATTTGTATAATTTAAACTTCATGTGTCTAGCTTGTTGTGAATCATTCTTCGGAAAACAAATGGTGTAAAGATAGGCTGCTTCATAGATCTTCTCCTTTAGTTGCATGGCTGCAGAGAGAACATTCCTTCAATTCTATGTGCTAATTGGCATATTTGTGGACGAAGTAAAATGCAGAATAATGATGTCTAAACAGCATGCAGAAACTAGCTATTTATGCTATAGTACTATTTTTCATATGTTTTATGTTCTCTAAGAGAAGATTGCATTTGTAATAAACCCTATCACTATCAACTTTGGTCAAATACTATTGGAAGCCCGAAATAGTTTTAAGTTACATACAGTCCGTGTAAATAATTTTTATACTAGCAGGTCATCCAAATGATATCCTATATGTAAGCCTCCTTTAAATGTCTGAGTTGACATCTTGAAAATAGCATATGTTACCTGTTACAAGAAGTAAAGATGATCTGATGGTATAAAAATTGTTTACCCTGACGGTGTATATTACTTTGAAATTGATCAATGTATAATTTGTGTACTTCACAATTACATTTCAGGTTCAGCTGTTGTTCTTTTATTGACAGGCTATTTGTAAGGTGACCCAATTTTTTTATTCACCTTAACCTTTTAAACTGACTGTTTTGAACACTTTTATGGTAAAGTCTATACAATAACCTTGATTGAAAATCGTTTTGCTCGTGTCAAATTGTGTCTAATAATACTTAATTAACTGTGTGGTGTTGCTATTACCTTAAACTAAGATATTCTCATATTAAAATATCCCTGGGAGTACCAGTGTTTCCGCCCTGCTATTTAAACTATATTTAATTAGTAGCTAGCTAGCTACTACATGCTCTTTCTCAGCTTCTTCTCTTCCTTCTCCTCCTCCATGTTGCCACAACCACAATGTAACAGTGACGAAGGTTTGTAAACCCGTCTTTTTTTTGTTTCTTGTTTTATATCATACAACAGCAACAACATATCCATGGTAATCCCACAATTGGGGTATGAGGAAGGTAGGGTGTACACAGACTTTATCTTACCTTTGTGGGGTAGAGGTTGTTGCTGATAGACCTTTGGCTCAAGAGTAAGGTTTTCGAAGCAGGTTTGCAAAAAATAATAATATGGCAGCAACAGAGTGAGAGATGAAGCAAGGAAGTAACAAATAGTAATATACATTGAAGAATAAAAGACTACAAGACTACTAAATACCAATACTGAGAAGCGGAAAGGACGAGACTAGCCCCCTCTCTCTTCTCAATCCTTTAAGCCAAAGTAAAAATTTAACTTCAAACACATATTTTTTCAACTACAGTCCCACATGTCTTAAAGAATGGACTCTGAATCTGAAAGTTTGTTTAAGAAAAAAGGATTGAAGCAATAATATCCACACAAAACAACACCCTAATTCATAAAAAAAAAAAAAAACAAACCCAGCCTATGTTTATAGCACCTTTGTATATTTATTATGTACATAGAAAAGAAGAAAACAGGAAACCAAGAATTGAGAAAAAAGAAAAAAAGAAGAGAAAGAACACAATAAACAAATCGAATTTACAGTTTAAATCTGCTGGAAAACATTTAGATTAGCCCCACTTAAATTCTTCAGTTAAGGAACTCAATGGATAATTACTCATAAAATCTCCAGAAGTACTGTTACCATATAGCTGATCTCTTTCTTGGCTTGGACTTGACTTTAATTCTTCATTCTTGATTCCAATGTAAGGATACTGAAACAGAGATTCCATTTTGTTCTCAATATCCCATGACAAGGCTTCACTGTTTTCCGACATCCCGTTTATCTGAATTCCAGCAGTGTTTTGATTGCTACACATATTTGAACTGTTGCTTGAACTCATTCTTGAAGTTGAGCTGCTACCAAAATCAGTTTCTGTCATCTGTCCATGTTCTAATTTTGTTACACTTGATGCTGAGCAAAACACATAATTTGGATTGTTCTCGAATTCGCTCTGTTGATCATGATATTGAGCTAACACTTCTGAATTATACTCACTCGGATTCGAATTGGATTGGAAATCAGGAACAAACAGAAGATCAAAGACTTGTTTACTTTCTGTAAATTGTCCATTGGCCATTTCATTAAGATGTGGTGGTATCTGCAGCATTGAGGTTTTATTTGTACAATTCTCTTCATCTTTGATTACTTGATTCTCCTTCAGTGGCTTGTGGGTATTTGGATCAATCCCCTGCTTCATTAACTTCTTCTTCAAACTCGAATTCCAGAAATTCTTTATCTCGTTATCCGTTCTCCCAGGTAATTGCGCAGCAATTTGTGCCCATCTGTCATATAAATAAAATTATTAGTTAACTACTTAAACAACCTAAACAGAATTACTAATGAAACTCTGTTTTGTATAAAGTACCTGTTTCCAAGAACTTGATGGAGACTAATTATCTTATCTTCTTCATCTTGTGAGAACATTCCTCTTTTAAGATCAGGCCTTAAGTAATTTATCCATCTCAATCTGCAACTTTTCCCACATCTTTGCAACCCTGCAACATTTCACACCATTAGTAAAAAATTGTACTAATAGGCAATAGCCCCTGCCGGCCGCCCGGGGATGGGGCAGAGCCAAAATTTTAACTTTATGAGTTCTGGATTTTAAAGAACGACTTCAGGAAGTTATAATAACTGGATTCTAAATTTGATATTTATACCTATTTAATGAGTTTCTTAACACAAATACATTGTTCGAGCAAAAGCTACTGGGTTCGGCCAACGATAAAAACAATATATAATTACCTGCTAATTTAGGGACTGAACTCCATGAGCCAATACCAAAATTGGTGATATAATTGCATAATTTTTCATCTTCTTCAGGTGACCACAATCCTTTCCTTAGCTTCTGCTTCACACTACAAGAATGGCGCCCCATTAATTTCTGCTCCCAAAGCTTTTAGCAGGGACTCTGTGTGTGTCTTATAGCTTAGATGATATAATTTACTTATAAAATTGGGATATTATAAAGTCATCAATATGAATTCTAGAGATGAATGAAAAATATGTAAGATAATAATCAATAATTTCAAGAAGTCTAGAGAAAAATCATACTTAGACCTCAAGCTAAGAGAGAGGAGAGAGAGACAAAGAAAGAATAAGAAGATAGGTGAGGCAAATCAAGTGGGTTTTAAGCAAATTTGGTGCTGCTTTCGAATCGGACTTGATTGAATGGTAAGTTATCTCTAAATTAAGATAAAAAGCTTCTGTATTCTAAAAAAATGCAGCTCAATGAATTCTTAGATAAATTATTTATACATATTTCGTGGTTGTTAATAGTAAGAAGACAATTATGTGTAGTTTAATAATCGCAATTATACTGTATGATTGAGTTTATGGAGTGTTACTCATTTGCATAATACTAATCATTTTCCTTAACAGACAATCGTACAGACAGATGTTGAAAATTAATAGGTGGCTAATGGGACCCTTTCATTTTTGTTTTTTTTTGTTTTACTAATAATCATGAGTTTAATTTTGTAATTAGCTATAAGCCTATATCTAATCTTGTTACCTCAAATTAAGCACCATCGTCATCAGAAATTAATTGAACTAATTTTTTTCTGGTTTTGTTTGTTACTCGTCATTGTCTTTAAAACAAATGAATAGTTTATACTTTATAGTTACCGTTATGTCAAAACAACTAAACAAATTTAAACATTTCGAACTGTATATTTTTGTTTAGTTTGTCCAATAAAAATCGAAAAATCATAACTACCAAAGTAATTCAATCGTTCGATTTTGATTTTTTCGGTCGCTTCGGAACCGAACTGAACAAACTATTGTTATATGTACGATTGATAACTGTAAATTATACATAATATTTAGGACCATTTTTTAGATATCCATAAAAGATACGTAGTACTCTGAAAAAGAAAAAAAAGCAAGATATTAGAAAAGGCAAAAGAACTTGTGAGAAGTTTTCTTTGGCATTTTTTAATAAAAATTTTGGGTGAAATTGTAAAAGAAATATTTTAAAAGTTCGACCGACACAACAATTTGAGGAAAGTATGGGGTCCAATATAAAATTTGACTTTTAAGAAAACACTTATAAATGTCACATTTTCTTGGTGTATAAAAAAGGCTGTGAAAATTACGTACCATCAATTTATTTGGAAATGTTCCAATCGTGTTGCTTTTGCATGCTATGTCATTCTCCACCCTATTATTTCAACATACGTCGTATTGCCGAATGTTTTGATCGAGTTATAAGTATTTTTTTATTTTTAATTAAAAGTTTTAGTTTGAATTCTGAGTATGATATTGTCTTTGATAAAGAATGTTTTATTTTTAATGTGAGATTTTCTGACATAAATTCAAATTAATCAGACTTCAAAATGAATATTAAACATCGACTAAGAATCCAAACCAAAAAAGAAAACTTTGAAATACGCAGCATAATATATACGTATAGCTCAGGAAATTAAATTGTGTCATTTTCGAAAGATTTTTCTATATTTTAATGAGACATTAATACACAAGTGGTAGTATACATAATTTATTTGTATGTCCAAAATTGTCAATTACTTATTTTTCGAAACATTGAAACATAAACTGCTTTCACGTCCAACTGTCAACTGTGTACATTTTATGGAATAGCTTCACTAAAATCATACGTCAAAATAGTTTCTAACATTATTGTTGTGGCCCTGCCTTTGAAACTAAGGGTGTGTTTGGTATGAAGGAAAATGTTTTCCTAGAAAATGTTTTTCTGGAAAACAAGTTGATTTTTGACTTATTTTTTCATGTTTGGTTGGTGAGTAGAAAATATTTTCCGGAAAAGATTTTTAGTGTTTGATTTATGAATGAAAAATATTTTTGAGAAATATCTTTTATTTTTACTAGAGTAGAAAATAAGTGAAGGGGGGGAGGGGG